AACATATTGAGGAAACTTATTTAACCTCTCATTTAAATGCTTTTTATAAATTTTCCATTGACCTCAATTTTTCATGAGCTGATATGTTTTGTAGTTCCCCCATGACTTCTACTGCATTGAATCCATCTGGTTCCAAGACATTGCATGCACAACCTATCAATCACCGGGGAGCGTGGCAAACTAATCATTTATTGATGAAATGGGGCAGCCATGAATTTCTAACTGCATTTGTCTTATTTATCAAGCCAGATCAAACAATGAAAATCCAAACAAGCTTGAAGGAAAAGGAAGGGAGTTGCAGGGAATAAGTTATTTTTCAGCTGTAGACAGAAGAAGGTTATTGATGGAGGGGCGACGAAGGAAGAGAAAAAAAAAGGTTTAGGAGTCAGCTGCGCAGTGGGGGAGCAAAGGAGTGAAAAAGGAATCGAACTGAAAGAAGGAGAGAGCAGTGGGGAGAGTTCAGAATGATGTTCAAACAGCAGGGTACACATCTGAATTAATGTTTCCACAAAAGGCAATTTTCTCCTTGCYGGCTCCTCATCCCCTCTGTAGGTAGCAAGGTGAGGTATGTCTCCCTAACAGAGAATGAGGAGCACAGACAGAGTGAGCAAACTCTGTTTCTTTTCAGCATCAGCACTCTTTACTGCAGGGTCCCTGGGCAGGCTCGGGGGATAGTGTAGTGATCTCAGGCTTCCACCAGAATACACTCCTGGTAGTGGTGTTTGCAAGCTCACTAACATGGCATCCTGGGAAAAGAAGAGTTTGTTTCTTCACTTGTTTGCTTTCTTTAATGCAAAGACAACGTCTGTTGTTATTCTTCTGAATTTCTACAGCCGTTAGTGGGCTGAGGAAGAAAAACAGAGCAACAAAAGAAAGACTGAAGTTTGCTTGCTGTTGTATATTCAGCGAAGGGGAGTTGAAGCAGAGTTCATGTGTTGGCGCTGGTGTGTCCGCAGCCACAGCAGATCAAAGACAGGAGTCAGAGTGGCACTGTCGCAGCGGTGCGCTGTTCGGTTTTGTAACCTCAGCTCATCTGTGACTGATGCGCAATATGTCATGATAAAGTTCTAAATCAAAATACATCTGGCCAATCAAATATTGAACAGCTTGTTTTGCTTGTTGACAGGCTGGTGCCGAGATGTAAACAGATCAAATTTAAATCAACAACATTAAATCAAGACAGCCTCACTCGGGGAGAGCGGTGAGGAGGGCGCAGAGGGTGGAGGGAGGGAGGGGGAGCCCTGCAGAGCTGGGAAAGTATAAGTAGATGCACAACTGGAAAAGCAGCAGTGGAAAAGCTGAGGTCATCTAGTCTCTCCTCCTGCATTACATATCTACAGCACCATGTCCTGTAGGAGCAGAACATTGTGTGTCAGGAGGCCCAGACTGAGAAAGAAAGCAGCAGTTGGAGCAAAAAATAATCTCTGGTCCTCTCAAGTAGCAGAGAACAGGAGTCAACAAGAGGACACTGTGATATGATAGCCAGGGGATAATAGGAGCCCCAAACAATTGGGACCAGCCTCCAGCCATAGTGACTATGGTATCAGTAGGAGCCCCTCCCAGGGCTGGTCTACAGTGAGTAGACATGCTGGCAGCAGGGAGGAGGTAGAGCTTTCCTCAGGGCATTGCTGCTTCCCCTAACCAGTGAGAGCATGAAGAGATGAGAAATGAGAAGGATTAAATCATTACTTATGACTGAAAYTAGTTTTTTTGTTCAGTTTATCTTCACAAGACGATCAGTGTAAAAAAAATTCCCTATTTCCCTATTTATATTTCTCTACCCACCAATCTTTTCTTTTCCCTTTGTCTACCTAAAAGTTTCAACTTAATGATGTCTGCAATCACAAAAGTGAGCATTTATGTTTGCCTCCAAGGGAAACATGGTGCGCTGGTGAGTTGTAGTATTACAATCTCGAGACCAGATGTCCCCTTCATCAGAGCAGAGACGGTCCACTGCTGGTGCAGACAGGACAGGACAGGACAGACACCATTCCCATACAGCCAGGGCTGCATGAGCAAGGTTACATTTTACACCACCTCGGTGGGCACGTTTAAAGGATGTCTTTACAGGCGTTTCAAGCCAGACTGCTGTTGTTTTGTGAGGTCAAACTGAAATTAACGATAGACGTGACCSTATAAACGCATGTGCAATCACTAAGCTGCACAGCCGACAGATCAAGAAAGAGGGAGTCATTTTTGTCACGTGCAATTTTTTTTCCCTTATGGCAGAGTTTTTAACTGATCAGCTCATGTTTACAGATTAATGAGGGATCTGACACAGGCTGGAGTAGTCAAATACACCAGCATATCCTGTGAGAGGGGGTAGATAGAAAACAGAGCCATAGGTCTGTCTCTGTCTCCACCTTATGGTTTCAAGTGAAATAACAAAAGATAAGCATCTAACTCTTTATGAATGAGTTCAACATACTGTAGCTTAATGAAAATGTTTTTTTAATTGATTATTTTTTGCTTGACTGAATGTCATGGCGAAGTGATCTTAGAAAAGCATCTGCATGTTAACTCTTTCTAATATGTTGCTAATAACTATTCATATTTTTGAACGCAGAGCTTGTCAACCAAAAGTGCAGCTAGAGATAAGGTAAAGGGCATTTTTCTCCATCTAGTAAAATTGGCACCTGCAACAGCACTGCCATCTTTCATGGTTAGAAAAATCAGATGTCAGACACATCTCTCACAAAGGGGCTCTATCTTCCTGAACCTGCTGACAGTGCATGTTCTCATCTTCACCAACTGATTTGGTGTTCACCTCAGGCCCACTGCAGCGCAATCCTCATATGGATTCAAGGCATTTCACTGTCTACTTAATCACAATACAAATAGTCCTGGTTCTGGTTTGAATGAGATTTTTTTTTTTTTTTTTTTTTGGCCTGTAAGTGAAGTACCCCTGACGCATCCAGTATGATCCGTGTGTGAGGCTCGCTGCACTTGATCAAGTGGACCGGTCTGCCTCTGTAGGGATCACCCATCAAAGTGGAAAGCAATGGTAACTCAATGCCTCTCGCAGACAGTGATTGATGATGGTGCTGTCTCATAACGAATTGCGGCCCCCCACAACAAGTCTCACACAAGTGGGAAATGTTAATTGAAATGCTGTGCGTGCAAACGGCTGATCCTACCACAGTTACAACAATAAACCAGAGGGAATGTGGTGGAGACTGTAGCATTTCCACATGTTGCGAGATAAAGAATACRCTGACGGTAAACTACACAACTGAAAATTACTCACCGTGTCTTTCTCAAGGTTTTTCTTTTCGTTATCTAGATTGCTGGGGGAAATAAAATACAGGTTTTGTAACCCAGTTTTTTTTTATATACAGTGTATACTGGGAAAATATATATTTTGCTGACACGTCTCTTACCTTTCAGTTGTGTTTTCTTTGATCGAGTCCCTGAAGTGAAGTGTCTGGCCGTATGGGAGAAGTTTGAACTTTTCGGTACCTACTGCAACATAATGCTGGTTGTTCTCCAGTTCAGAGGAGCCACAGACAGGCTGTCCATCTAATTTGCACAGTCTTGAAAATAAAGGGGAAAAAAAGAGAATATACACTTAATATTCTGAGAAATCTTAAAATACATGTTTTGAATATGTGTCAAATAAAACTGAACAACTTCACAAGAGTGTTTTCAGCAATTTTGGATGAATTTAACACATTATGACAACCTYACGAGGCTGCCATATTCAATGTTTTCTTTACTTTGTTTCTTCCCAGCAAAATATTCATTTAATGAAATTGGCCTGAAGTCATTAATCATGTTTTCTGTATCATAAAACAAATGTTGATAACCTTGATAAACATTCGTTAACATTTAAAAAACATCATCGCTGTAAAGATTTGCCTTAAAAACACATAAAAACAAACATTAAAATAAAGCATAAATTATTATGTCTGTCTTTGCCTTCAACACTTATCCTGATGTAAAATATTACCTGAAAACAGCACCAGTGCGAAGACTCACTTTCTCTGTCACCATGGCTAAAACATTTTCCCAACTTTTCAGTGTGTGCTTCGGGATCCTTATTCGAACCGGAGGAACCAGCAACTTTCCATTTGTGAAAACACTAGGAAACAATGCATGAAAGACAGAAATTATTTTTTAAAAATCTGACATAAACGCACCAGCACAAAGAACATTTTGCATTTTTGTTGTAACTGACATTTAGTTTCGGATTACCACTAACTTTATTGTGCAAGTTCCATCGATAACTTTCTTCCAGCGCGCTGAAACTACTATTCTGCTGTGGGCAACAGGTTGGATCTAAAATGAAAAAAAGAATAATAATAAAATTAAATTAAATTAAATTAAATAAATAAATGAATGAATGAATGAATGAATGAATGAATGAATGAATGAATGAATGAATGAATGAATGAAT